TTACTTTAAAACTACCTTGCGTCATTATTTATTTTTTCTAGGCTGGGGATGTAGCTAAGTGTTTTCTTAACATTCAAAAAGCCCTGGTTGATCCTCAGCACTGCATTGAGCACGGTGAGCAAGCCTGCAATTCCAGTATTTAGAAGCAGGAGGGTCAGAGGTTCAAGGTCATCCCCAGCTACACAGTGAGTTAAAGGCCAACCTAAACTATATGAGACTCTGTCTCCAATTATGCAGTTTTCCATTCTGGTCAGTAGTGGCGGAGAACGTGGGCATCAGATGGTGAGCCCATGTCTAATGAAGATGGCAGAGCAGGATTTCAGCCCGAGGAGGGTACTGTGCCAGGTTCTGTTTCTAGGAAGGAGACCTGACCTAGCTCAGGGAAGAATTCAGCCATAGGTGGGTTCACTCTAGCAATCTGGGCCTTCAAAAGAGGATGGTGATGTTGAACTGAAGAGTTAGTCAAGCTGAGCGTTATCTGTCTATAAGGAGTATTTGGTTGGATCATACACACAGGTGCCTGGACACTGGGTTGCTGGATTGAACACAAAGACTAACTTCAGCTTGCTCTGCATCCGACCTAGATCACAAATGAAAGGAGCTGAACATGCAAGGGCAGGCAGGCACAGTGAAGAGAAAGTAAGGCAAAGATTGCAGCGAACATCTGGCAGCCTGCACTTGTCTCTTTGCAAGTCCCTAGCCCGGATTTGTTTCTCCCTCTTGCAGATTCATGTACAGTCTGACGTGAATCTGACCCAGCACAGCTTTGGTTACATTTCCTTTGTAATTGTCGTCTTGTTCACATTGCTAATCACAATACGGCAGGGCTGTTTTATTGACTTTTAGGTGTGTTCTCAATGCATGACTCACAAGATAACTTCTTGAGATATCAATTAAACATTTTCTTCTTCCTGTTCTCCTATTTGGAGAACAGGTTCTAGGCATCCTCGCCTTCGTTGGTGGAGAGCTTCATGACTTTTTGTCAAAACTTGAAATTGAAGCTTGGGATGACTGAAAGGATCCCACAGGGAGCTGGAAAAGGGCCCTCATCTTGTGGGATGAACTGAGTTGGAAATAGGGATATCAGGGGAAGAAGTATCTGGTATTTAAGGCAGAGAGGATAGTGCAGTCCAGGATCCAGGGAGAAAGCGACTGGGGTGTCCTCTTACTTCCTGTAGTGGTGGGAGGTTGGGAAAAGTAGTCAGAGCTTCTCTTGCAACTGGCCTCGTGTGGGTGTTGAGCATCCTGGAGTTTATCCTGGTGATGAGAAAACAGTAAGGGGTTTGTGCCTTTGCATCCCATTCTCCTGCATAACAAGTGTGTGCCACTTCTGTGCCTATGAGTAAATATTATCCTGTCAACCAGGAGATAACACAGCCAATTAAAAAGCTTTCTTCCTGCTAATTAACAGTATCACCTACCCCCCAGAGCAAAGAAAAGACACGGAATCCTTCTCTTGCTGTTTGCTTGACTCAGTTTCCATTCCTTACCTTTCTACCTTGATTTGTTCACCGAAGGGTGTAAACTGGTCTCTCGGCTTGTATGTCCTCCTTCAGTCAACCCTTCACGCTCCGTCCTCCTTCAGTCAACCCTTCACGCTCCCTAAACATGTTCTCTACCCTAAAGCAAAGCCAAGGCACTACTCTTTCCCTAAACTTCCACACGAGGTACACAACACTCATCCTTGCATGCAGACTAAATCACACCTTTGAACTGGGCACTTATGCCTTCCACCAATCTATATTAACATTTCAACCTTTCCCCTCGGTCCACACCTCTCCTTCAACTCAGCCTTCACAGTCTTCCCCCATCTGCTTGATTCTTGTTTCTGCGACTTTGATCCCATTATCTCTTCTAAATGTCCCAGTTTTTTTTTTTTTCAAAAAAGGGTTGACCCAAATCAATCAGTTGCAAAAAGATCACACTCTAAATTTAGCGTCTTAAACACAGTAAGCATGAATAATTTCCCAGCTTCTGTGAGTCAGGAGTTTGGGAGCATCTTAGTTGAGTTGTAGGATGAAATCATTCACGAGATTGTAGTTTTCTGAAGGTTTGACTGCAGGGAGAGGTCTGTTTCTCAAGTGACTGTCACGCTGGTGCTGGCTTCTCTGGGGCTCCCAGAGAATTCTCCATGGCAGTTGGCTTCTGCTAGAACAGTGGTTTCAACCTTCCTAATGTTGTAACCCTTTAATACAGTTCCTCATGTTGTGGCAACCCCCAACCATAAACTTATTTCGTTGCTACTTCATAACTGTAATTTTACTACTGTTATGAATCATAGTGTAAATATCTGATAGGGGACCCTGAGGGGTCATGACCCACAGGCTGAGAACCACTGCTCTATGGAAAACAGGATATTAAGGCAAAAGTCATGATGCGCACTGGGATCTCCGTTGAGAGTCACATACCATCAGGCTAGCCTTTGGACCAGCTCTGACGTAAAGGAGAGACAACTGTGAGGACACCACAAGGCAAAGCTCAGGACACAATCATGAGAGTTGGCTGCGGCATGTTTTTCAGGAGGCTTTCCTGATTCTCCAACTCTGTACGTCCCCTATGTCCCATTTGCAGTAGCCCAAATTCTTTAAAGCTCAGGTCTCTGGGAGACTGCTTAATAAACTTCTATTTTCTCTTTCTTATATTTATGGCATAGTGAAATGTGAATCTGAAAAAGGGTACCAAATGACATAGTGCTGAAGAATATTTCCCCTCTACAGTCCTAAACGTCCGGTTCTGAGATCACTAAGGAGAGAAACGTCTTCTTGCCTGGAAGATTTAAATGACCTGAGATTGACTGAGAGAAGTGCCTTGTGCTGGATAATCTTATGTCAGTTTGACACAAGCTAAAGTCATTGAGGTGGGATGCTTAATTGTCAAAATGCCTCCATAAGAACCATAAGGGCAGTCCTGTAAGGCATTTTCTTAATTAATGATTGATGGCGGAGGACCCAGCCCATCATGGGTGGCGCCATCCCTGGACTGGTGTCCAGGGTTCTTTAATAAAGTAGGCTGACCAAGCCAGGAGTGAGCAAGCCAGTAAGCAACACTCCTCCACGGCCTCTGCATCAGCTCCTGCTCCAGGTTCCTGCCTGTTTCTGGTCCTAGCCTGAGTTCCTTCAATGAAGGATTACCGTGCAAACATAAACGTCAAATAAACCCTTTCCTCAACTTGCTTTTTGGTCATGGTGTTTCACTGAAGCGATTGAAACCCACACTAAAACGGCAGCGTTTGGAGACAAGGGGTTGACGCTGTGCTGATGGAAAATGTATGTTTCCAAAGAAACGGGTGCTGGAGTCTACTTTTCAACTCAGGTTTTATATTGGGAGTAGATCTGGTTTGCTTTGAGCCTCTCAAGCATTACTTCATTTAGATTTTATACTAAGGGTAGAAATTACTTCATCGTTTTTTGGGGGGATCAGGACCACAGTCCTTCTGCTGTGCAGTGTTCCTTTTTTGCATCAGCTTGGTAAAGCTAACTTTGTTGGACTAGCCCTCAGTGGTTTTTATCAGATGGGCACATCAACAACTAGAAAACATTGCAGCTTGTATAATTTTCCCCCTCCCTCCCTCCCTCCCTTCTTCCATTCCTTCCCTGCCCCTTAAGACTCGTCTATGTTTCTTGAGCAAGGGTATTTTGTAGACTATCTTGTTTGTGGATTATTCTTATCCTTTTTTGTTCTTTTTTTGAATGTTTTGAAATCTATTTTCTTATAGATGATTTTTTCAATTAGCTTTGGAAACACTTCATTATTACAAACTCATTTTTCTCCCCAGGTTCCCAAAGCTTTCACACTATACTGCGCTTCCCTAGTGAACTAGCACCACCCCCTTCCCACTGGCTAGGAGGCTCTTTTGGCCTTAGGGTGTAACTTTGGAATCATTTTTTTTTGTCAAACCTTAATTAAAAGTTCTAGAAAAATTCTGAGTTTTCTTATTGGTATTCTCATAGCACCTAGTTCACTTTCCCGTGACATTTAACTCATCCATATTTTCCTTCATGTTTTTCTTCTGCACCAGCCTCTGGAGAATAAGGGATTGATTGTTCATACAAGCTTTTTCTGTGCCGGGCATACCTAATTACTTAAATAATTCCAAGGGTAATGGGAAATACACGATGGCATATGGAGAGTTTGGTAGAGGCTCTACTTTCTTGTAATTTAGATTTTGACTGATTGAGCACCTGTACACAACACACGCCCCTGTCTCTGGTCTTTGCCATTCTCATAACCTTTTTAAACAACCACCCACTCACACAGAGAAAATACCTAGGGCACCAATGTTTCATTGGCTACTTTAACGTGTAGGCAACTTTTAAACGTGTATGTACTGTGTGAGGCTTTATAAGCTTCCTTTATGGCCGACACTTGTTTCCTTGACTGAAAACAGCCATTCATTAAGTTATTGTGCATGGGATAGACTGAAGGCTAGGGATAACAATTCCTGCATGATAGGGTTGGGCAGGAGAAGAATGCTGTAGTCTGTGAAGCCCTTCTGCTTCTGGGAGTAAGGCCAGCATTAAGACAACGCACGATTGTTATTTCTGAATGTCCCTTTGCAAAGAACAGCGTTTCTTAAACTTTCTTTGACCAGACCTAAGATAGATATACATTTTTAATTGCCACTCCTTGACCAGATCAACAAAAAAATAATTTTTTCCTTAAAACTCCTTTTTGACTTGAATTCTGAGATTTTTTTTTTCTACTACATATACTTTTTTAAAAAAATAGAACGATAGGCCCGTTCTCCTAAACTGATCTTACAGAACTCCAGGGATCATAACCCACGAAGGCTTGGAATAACGTATTTGATCTGTAGTCTTTCTTCCCGGGTTTCCCCTCACTCGCTAAGTGGCAAACGATGACCACGCCTCCAGTCTTGCTAGTGCTCCGCGATGGGGCCGGTGCCCCTCCTTCTCCGGCTTCTTTAAGAGGGTGGCACCGACTCGTCCAGGGGATGGCAGAGGGGCAGGGCACGCTGAGTCGGCGGCGCAGGCCTGGCCCGCTCTCCCAGGTCTTGTGAAAGCCAGGGTGTGTGCACACGGAGCTCACAAGACCGGAGCGGTGGGAGCCCGGGACCAGCGCCGAGGACAGGCAGCCGTTGCCCGCCGCGTTTCCGGCGAGTCCGCGGGGGTCCGCGCGTGCGCAGAGCGTGCCCCGGGGGCCGACCTCCCCGCGCCCGCTAGCCCGCGCGCGCACCCGTCGGCGAAGCCAAAGTCCGCGGGGGGCTCGGCGCGGCGGCGCGCGCCAGGGGGCGTTCCCGCGCGGCCGGCCCCGCCCTCGCTCGGCGCCGAGCTAGCCTCCCAGTCTCCCCCGCGCTTCCTGCACTGAGGCAGTTGCCGGCGCGTCCCCTATCCCGCGGCTCGCTCGCCCAGCCGGTGCCATGGCGGCCTTCAGCAAGTACTTGACGGCGCGGAACTCCTCGCTGGCGGGGGCCGCCTTCCTGCTGCTCTGCCTGCTCCACAAGCGGCGCCGCGCGCTCGGCCAGCACGGGTGAGGCTCGCGGCCGCGCCGCCTTCCCGGGCCCGAGCGGAGGCTCCGGGCGCGCGCCTTGCCCTTTCCTCCCGGGCCCGAGCGGCGCGGGTGTCCGCGGAGCGAGGCCAGCGGTCCCCGAGCCCCGCGGCCCTCGGCCCGGTGGCAGCCGCGTTGTCGCCGGACTGTGGGAGGGAGGAGGGCGCGCCGTGTCCCCGCGCCCCCTCGCCGCCTCCCTCCTGTATGCCAACTTTCTGGGTGCGTCCTGGTTTTGCCATCTCATCGCCACCGAGAGCGCTAAGGATTTGTTCGGTGGACGCTCTTGGCTATGTCCCTGGGACCAGCTTTGGCTGGACTCCGGAGTAGTGGAGGTGCAGAGTCGCCAGGGCGTTCCTAGGGGGGTGTTCTGGGGCTACTTGGCACGATTTTCTTCCAGAGGGGTGCCCTGCTCTCCGAACTGGTCAGCGAACTCCCTGACATTTCTTTGGAAAAAGCTGAATTGGCTGCGAGGTGTGTGGAGGACAAAGTTTCCTCCCCCGGCTTTATAGGTGAAAGGTGAAAGTGTGTTTTAGGTGAAGATCACTTGTTAGTACCGTACTGCTTCCTGCCTGCAGAGGACGTTCAGGTTTACTTTGAACTTTTGGGAGATGAGGGAAGAAGAAGAAGAGAATTGGGTTCTGGTGGTGGGATTACAGGCACAATTTTATTTCTTGTCGCCCAATGGATTTCCGCGAGTGGTTGAGAAAAGACGACTTCCTAAGCGTTCTTGCTAGTCTTTGGCTATTTAATATCCAATCTTAGAATAATGCTTCCATGCATTTTATCCCATCGACCCTCTGGGCAGGTACTATTGTCACCTGCTTTGGATTTGCTTGAACTATTTAGAATTTGGCCCAAAATACTAGAGCGGAGTTCCTAGTACCCTTTCCATAAAGTAGTTTTTGTCCTTCTGTCTGATTTGACTTGCCTGTTGCCTGCAGCATGGTGCATCTTCCTAAATCAGCTTTACAAAATAATGACACACATCACCGTCATTCACTAATTATTCGCCTTTTTAAATTTTTTTTTGGGGGGGAGGAAAGGATTAAGTATTTTTTCCACTAGATTGTGTCCTTTCTGAACTTGCATTTGCAATTAGAAGTTATTGGCTATTTGGGGATATGGCGATAGAAAATATTAAATGCTTTGAAGTACTTTTTTTATTTTTGCAGAGAAGCGTTTTAGTGCATTGAACAGACAGATATTTTAGTAGGAAGGGAATTTGACTGCTAACCTCTCTGACTGTTTCAACACAGTTCTTCACTAGGTAACATACAGGGTAAGTGTCAGGCTTGTAAGACTTGTGCAAGTAGAACACACCTGTGTAACCAGTGCCCGGATCAAGAAGCAGTGTATTATCAGCACCCTCGAAACACCTTCATGTCCCTTTCCAGTCACAGTCCCAGCCAACGTTCAGCTGATTTATAAGGCTGTAGATTATTGAGTACAGGGAGTTTTAAACATAATCTAATGGGAAATAGTAGCAATAGTGACGACACAGTGTAGTACAATTTCTTTTCCTAAATAATCGAAACTATTCATCTGCCATTTCCAAAATTCTTTTTGAGAAAATTTGTGAACTTTCTGATGATGGAATTATGCAACTGCTGATTTAATGAACAAAATAGAGTTGCTAATCTTTCATATTGGGGTGAGCAGTGAAATCTTTGTTTTAGGCATTAATGTTTTGAGGGATGAGAATGCATATTATGAGCAGATAAATATGAGACATAAACTGAGATAAAATGATTGAACTTAACAAAAACCACTAAGAATGACATATATACACCATTCACACACATATCATTCTTAGTGATATGTATATGTATCTGATCATATATATATTAATATATAAATTAGATATTGTGTTTGTCTTTCAGTCTCTACCTTTGGTTTCACAGTTTGGAGGTTAGAATATTCTGTCCTATTATACTGGTCTTTGGTAACAGCTAATTATTTTAATATCTGGTGCTTAACTAAGGGATAATTGGTTTCTAGTCCTTATTTTATCTGTCTTGTGAATAGTAGGTTTCTCTTAGAATATATATTCCTTTGAATTGGATAGGTAACAGAGCTAGTAAAACCACTTCAGGAGTTATGTTGCAACATTATTCTGAATATTATAGTGGATAAAATTCTGTTTTAAAATTCTGTTAGTGTAATTTTTCCATCTTATTAAATCACACATGCACACTCACTCTTTTATTATGGAAATTTTTACATAATATACAGAGTAAGTAGAATAACGATCCCTATTAACTTTACCCATATGGTTTCATCCATATCTATTTTCTCCCTGCCCTTTTTATAGATTTTAAGGTAAAACTTATATTTATTAAAACATGCCATTCTTAGTTACACTTTTTTTCAACCAAATAGACACATTTGTATTATATTCCTATCTTACAAATTAGAACATCTTCATCTCCCCAGAAAGTTTCTTTGTATTTCTTTCTAATTATTTCCTACCACTATTTGCTAACTTTCCCCTACTTTACTCTTCCTTAAACAATTGACTCCTTCAATTTGCCAAACAATTGGCAAAAGTCACTTAATCATCAAAAAGGAATTGCTTGTTTAGAACGTTGCATTTCTGTGTTGCATATATGTAACATGTAAAAAAAATGTCAGCCGTCTTAAGGAGCTTATATTCTTGTTGGGGAAAATAGACTTCGCATAAAGTGTTAAAAGTGTCAGGTGACACACTGTCATGTACGGCCACTGTACTATCCTGGCTTACCTGTGTTAGTGATTTGGTCCTTGCTTTCGTTTTGTACTTATTCAGCCATGTACAGCTAACTTGTAGTCTGATTATGATCTGTGCTGTCTCAACCACTTCTCCCACTGTCTTAGATACTTTTCTTCAAAAGTTGGCTCAGTAAAAAAAAACTTTCTGCTAGGTGTTTTCCGGCTTTCCTAACCCCAGGTAATAGAGCTATCCTTCGCTTTTCTGACACTGTCCTATTTCTCTTTGCTAGCACTCACTGCTTAGTTTTGTTCTGGTCTCTTTTCTTGGCTTCTGCATAAGCAGAAACCAAGACTCTGAATTTCTTGAGACTTTAGACTGAGTCATGCTTATTTTTGCAATTAACTCTTGTTTTTTGCTGTACTGGGGAACATACCTAGGCCTAGTACATGGCAGGCAAGTGAGCTAGGGAGACTTTGAGTCATATTTAAATCCTTCATTTGGGTATGTCCCGGGATAGACACTCAAGAAGTGTTACAGAGGGAATAAGTGATGCAGAACTGTGGAAGAACTTTTCAGAGCAGTTGATTGACAGGCGTTGGAGAAGGAAATAGAGGTCTTATCATCATAGAAGTCATGAGTGTACCCAAAAGTCTATAATAGGAACAGTGGGAAATCAGTAGGCTAGTTCCAGTGCAGGGAATGGGACCACAGTATTTTACTATGCTAAATAATTAAACCATTAAAGCAGAAGAAAGCAACTCCCCTTCCCATTAGTGCTTGTGAAGTAAAGTTCAGATTTCTCATCCGAGGTTTCAGAGCTTTCCTCCGTCCAGTCTCATCTTACCTGGCTAGTCTTGTGGTCTTGCCTGCCAGTTGGTACTCTGGTCCAAATAGGCCAGTTTCTGCACTGTTCTCTGAGTAGGCTACCCTCACTCCTGCCTTTGGACCTTATCCCTGTGACCAGTCTTATCTGTAAGTTCTCTGTCTCCTTGTTTTCCAGATCTTTAACACACTTAAAAAGCTAGAGAAGGGTCACTTTGATGTGAAGTATTTAGCTGCTCTTGACAATCTCAGTGATGATCACCCGGCTTTTAACCTCACATTCAAGTGCCTTGCCAGGTGTACTCTGCTTCACTGGCTGTTATCTAGCTGGGTGTGTCAAGTACACTTTCATCTTTTGTCCCTTTAAAGTCTTTGTCTAGAAGTGGTGGGGCACAACTTCCTCCCCAGATATTTCTGCAGAGGTCCAGGCAACCTGTATTCCTCTTACTCCCATCTTCTTTGCTTCCGCTCTATTTTAGATCCCACTCACTTGTCTCTTGAGGCTGTCTCTACACTAAGCAGGTCCCCACAGTGCTATTTATAGAAGAGTTCTGTTAGAAAATTAGTAGCAAGGTTGTATCTGAGCTTAGTTAACATCTTAAGATTCTTTTCTCTAAATTATTTGTTGTGTTTTTCCACTGCTAGAAATTTCTTTGCTGTTTTCCCAGTCCGAGTCTTAGGGCCTGTTGCCAGGCCTTGGCTTTAGCATTGAATGCACTCCTGTCTTTAAGTCCTGGTAACTTTCCTGCAAACTTAATTTATCCTTTCCTTATATCTGTCTGTCCTCTTTAAATCAAGCTAGGGGCTGCTTTCATGTTTCTTCGTTTGACAAGTTCTCTGAGGGTTTTGCATAAGCATGAGCCATGTGAGGAGCTGGATCTGAATGACATCCTTAGAATTAACCCTATTTGGCTTTCTAGATTAAAAAGACATACTTAAGGAAACTCTTAAGAAAAGGGTATGTCAGCAACAGCATCTGTGTACTGAACCCACTTGGTGCAGTTCAGGTCAGAGCAGAGTTGTGAGAAGTGTGTCTGTGATCTGCTGGGGTCACTGGGTAAGGATTGTCCAGTTCATTACAGCTCTCAGGTCTTGGTTCCTTAGCTTCTGGCTCAATGCCCCTTCACTTGCTCTTCTCCCTGCCTGGGATGTTGTTTCCAGTGATGTCACATTGTTTATATCTTCCCTTCTTTCAGTCATTGATCGATTAGATGATACACCTGTTGCCATACGATTAAAAACACCCTTTGTGTGTATATGTTCTATTTCCCTTCCTAGCTATACTTTCCTCCTTAGCACTTACTATTATCAGATGTGCTGTTTATTGTACCTGTGTATCTGTGCTGCTGGGAACGTAGTTAAGCTCCACAGAGGAAGAAGTTTTCGTCTGATTTGTTCGTTAGTATAGCCCTGGTGGGTAGAACTGTGCCTGGCATGGTGTACTTGGAAAATATTGTTCAGTGGTTCTTAC